TTGATTGTTTGATACTTTTCATAATTTCTCATTTAACATTAAAGTTTTATGATACTTTTTTAATTTTCTATTTAACATTGAAGTTTTCATATATTAATATAAATTTTATTTTCATATATTAATATATTACATATATTATATATTTTGATTTATTTCTTTTACTGTAGTTATTTTATTTTTTTAATTTATTATTGCTATAAAATGATTTATAATGAATAATTAGGAACTTTGATATTATTGTAGAAAAAGAATAATGAAAATCTGTAAATCTTAATACAAATTTTATTACTTTTTAATAAATAAATAATAATAAATAAATAAAATTATTTATTGAAAATATTTTTTATAATATTGAAATTTTCAATAATACGAATTATTATTATAAATATGTAAGTTAACTTAATAAGTTAATAAATTAGCAATTTCAATGATTATTTAAATGATTTCATCTATTTCAATGATTATTTAAAAAAAACTTTTGCAGAATAATTTTTATACATTTTTATGACTTTAGTTTTTTTAAATTCAATTTTTCTATGTTTTTTTTTTAATTTATGTTATGTTATTTTTTTATAATTATGTTATATAGAAATATGTACAGTTTTTAATTTTTATAAACAGTAATAATAATAAAATCTAAATAAAATAACTTCTCAATCAAGAATTTTTTAAATACTTATTAATACTTTCTATTATATTTTTCTTCATTTTTTAAAGTGTTGCACTTCTTATTTTCGTAATAATTATATTCTTAATAGTCAATAAAATTAAATAATTTATATATAGTTTAATAAATTTATCAAATATAAACAAAATGTAAACAAAAATAATTAATGTAATTAAAAAATATTAAGAAATTAAAATCAAATTTATAATTTAGAAATAATAATTTTTCATATAATAATTTATTTATGGAATTATTATTATAAATAATGCAATAATAAACATATATAAAACATAAACATAATACAAAATAATTAAATAATTAATAAATATAACTCATTTTTATTATAAAATTATATATATTATTATAAAATTTATTATAAATTATTTATANATAAATATATATGTATGTATATATAGATTTCTCTTACATATAGAAATATAAAAAAAATCGATGTCAATATCAATCAATGTTAATTGATTAATATATTATCTATAAAATATTTAAAAAAATTTATATATTATATATAAATATTATATAATATATAAAATATTAATATGACTATATGAATATATTATTTTTTAATTCTTGAAATGCAAATAATTCGATTGACCATATATCTGGATATATTTATCTGGATTAATGTCGATGTATTTTTAGATAGATTTAATTTTAATATAAAATTTTCTTGATTTTTAATATTTTTAATATAAACTATTGATGTTAACAATAAATGATAATATCAATTAGAAATGCTCAATTGCAATGTGCTCAATGGAATATATGTATAAATCTGTAAAAAAATTTAATGATTCTGTTATATATATAAGATATTAATAGAAAAAAATATCAATATTTTCAGAAGATTGATTCATCATTATTTCTATTGAAAAATAAAATAAGAATATTTAAAGTATCCTAAAAGTCAACCATAAAATTTAACTGATAATTTAACTAATAATTTCTAAATTTCAATTTTTTCTTTTATAAAAATTTTTGTTTTGACTTTCTTAATGAGTTATTAATAAAAAAACATTAGCCAATCATAAAACATATAGACTTGTCACGTTGCATTATAATGTCGTTAGCGATTCAGTAAATAAATTAAAACAATATGTATTTAAATATGTCGAATAATTATTAGGTAAAAGTTATATCGAAATTATATCTTATTCATGAACATTGAATAAAATAATTTTGATACATTACATTATTACCTTGACTTGATTGTTTGCGTTTAATGTCTCACTGTTTATATCAATATTTCCGTCGCGGTGCGATAATTCTACACGTTCTGTAATTGGTCAGTTAAAAACAAATTAAGAATTTGTTTTTAATAATATATATTGTATAATAAAAATGAAATAAAAATTTTCATAAATAAACAAGGTGAAATCATTAAATATCATTAATTTCGATATAATTTTTATCAATTAATTTCTAGGATATCTCATGTATCAAAACATTTATATTTTCTCAAAATTTAAATTTAAAACATATTTAAAACATTATATTTAAAATTATATTTAAAATATTTTTCAAATCTATTTATTTAATAATGTTATTTTATTTATTTATTTTAAATTTGAAAATATTATATTTTGTTATATTCTTTTTATCTTTTTATTTATGTTATGTATCATTCTATTTAGATTTTACATTTTATTGTTAAAGTTTGTTTATTTTATTAAAATATGTTATTAAAAATTTAATTAAATAAATATATTCTAATTTCATGCATTTTTAACAAAATAAATAATTTTTTAACAAAATAAATAAAATATGATTTTTTTTAATATATTTAGATTATATAAATTAATTTAAATTAAAAAAAAAATAAATACAAAGAAAAATAAAAAAATTGATGTAAAATTTTAATATATTTTTTATTTTATAGATTATAAATTTAAATCTCAAAATAAATATTATTTTAAATTTTTATATATTTGATTAATATACAATTATTCGTCAAAATTTGATTTATTATTGGAAAATTATCGATTCTATATGAATACGCCATAATATATTTGCTTACGTAAAGATTCAGCTTGTCTCGACACACGTGTTGCGTATGCGTATATACATGCGCATCACCTGTGGTAGCGTAGTGCAGTCAGAAGGCTGGCCACAACAGCAGAGAAAAAGTTGTACTTACCAATGGCTGTCATTGCTTTTTCTGACAGATGTTTTTACGTGCTTTATCACACGAGTTTCGTCTTATTCGAACAGATTCTTATGATAATTTCATCTTTAGGCATTCTGTGAATTCAATATTATTACAGTAATAAAAAAATATTGAACTAAGAGTGCTCTTTTAAGTTTAAAGGGTGCGTCATTGGAATTCCAAGGATCACGATCTCTTGAAAAGATTGTATAGAGAGCTAAAAGAATAAAAGAAGGAATAAAAGAAGTGCGAACGAAATTACGTGAAATAAAGAGTGACTGAAAACAAAGAGTATGGCGAAGACGTATGATTATTTGTTTAAGTTGTTGCTGATTGGTGATTCAGGGGTCGGCAAGACATGCGTCCTCTTCAGGTTTTCTGAGGATGCTTTCAACACGACCTTCATCTCGACCATTGGTAAGTTATTATATCCTTTTTCTTTTCTTTTTTCACTGATTTGCCTTTTTTTTTGTGTTTTTATTCACTTATTGATATGAAGATTTCAAACTTGAATTTAACGATTAAATATTTTTCATTAAAATTACTTTGTTTATATATGTGTATATATGTGTACATAAATTATTCATAAAATTTGTATAAATTTATATTTTATATATAATTATATTTTATATATACAATTGAAAGAGAATAATTATTAAGAGAATATTTTTGAAATATTTTTATCTTAATTTTTATTTTAAAAGTGTAAATGATTATTTGATTTTTTTGAAAATAGATTTTTTTAAAAGAAGTCAGATGTTCATTGCTTGTGCATCATTGTGATCATTTGTTGAATAAATTTAATACTATTGCAGTAATAGTAATAATATAATGTTCCAATAATATAATTTGCATATTAGTTTGTGTTTATAATTTATATATCTTAATTTGTAATAGATTGCCTTTTCTTATTCAATAAATTTTATTTTTAGAAAAATATTTATAATTAATTTATATTAATAATCAATTTTATTTATTTACATGATTATCTATCTTTAACAATTTTATATATATATATTTTTGTAATATATTTATATTTCTATATAAATACTTATTTATTTATATATTTTATGAAATATCCGTGCAACTTTATAAATTTTTATCTATATATTCATTTATCTATATTTTCATATATTTATATTCATATATATTATAGTTTTCAATATAATTTATTTATTTATTCATATTCCTATTCATTTAATATAATTAATTTTTTGTTTGTGAGTATATAATGTCACATGCAAATGTTAAAATTAAATATTACTATTTAAATATTACTAATT